AATGCCTAAGGCACTTGACTGCAAACCAGAAGGATGGCAGTTCAAACCCACCAGCCACTCCTCGGAAGGAAGGTTGGGCAATCTACTTCCATAGTGATAGTGCCTCGGAAACCCAAGGCGGGGTAGCTATGAGTCAGGTCTGACTTGATGGCACATAACAACACAACAACACCGTGGCTTTCAGCCCAACAATTGACAGGCATCTAAGGTGAACATTTACACCAGGTAGGTACACTCCTTAGAACAGTCCACGATGGGAGATCAGAAAGGCAGTATTTGCCCAGGGAGATTGCTCAGAGGACAGGAATGTATAGGAAAGAAGGACATAAGAAAAAGGTAATCACTGGGAGGAAGTGGGGAGAGAGCTTATGAGAATTGCAATGAATGTCATGAAACAAAATGTATATGGACTGTTGTATGGAAAATGAATTTGTTCTGTAAACTTTCACCTAAATCACAATTTTTTAAAAAGTGAAAGATATAACTTAGGGCAATGTACAGGACTTCATTCAGGTGTCTGGTGATTATTTGTAAATATATCCTTCAGAACTTTTCAAAGGGTGGTCCCTGGGCTGTGAGCATCGGAATCACTGTTGATGATTAGTGGGTACTCCTAGGCCCCACCCCTAGAGATTCATGTTCAGTGAAGACAAGGGATGCTCTCTTGTCATAGTCTTACAAAATGATGGCATATTCATACACACTTCTCCTTTTATGAAGTGTGACAATATTTTGTTTCTAACATCTGTCTTCTGGGTCTGTCTTATGTAAAATGTTTCTGTCCTGAAAATTAGTACAGTAAAACCCACAAAAGCCAGAACCTGTGTAAAGTGGAAACCTGTCAGAGAAGGAAAATTCGAATATTTTTCCACTAAAACAAGTGATAGAAAAGTGGTAAGACTCCACCCTGTCAAAGGCTGAAAAATTTGAGACCTAGAAAAACAAAGCAACCCCGTTGAGTTCCAGCTCTCTCACAAGTTTCACTGTATTATTGATGTTGTGACAGGAAAAACATGGGGTGATTACAGGACTTTTACTTTAGATAACTGTTTCTCCTAATGTGGTCCCTGGACCAGCAAGATCAGTATCATCTGTGAACTTGTCAGAAATGCAAATTCTTAGACCCATCCCAGACCCACTGACTCAGAAACTGGAGGAGGATTCAGTAACCTGTGTTTTAACATACCCTCCAGATGATTCTGATGCACACTCAAGTTTAAGACCCACTGCTTTAGATAAGAGGAGCTCTAACCCACCGTCACTCCTCAGAAGGAAGGTTGGGCAATCTATTTCCGTAGTGATACTGCCTCGGAAACCCAAGGAGGG